CGCGCAATTGCACACACACGCGCGCAATTGCGCGGGTTGCGGGGACATACTTACGCCACTGTTTAGGATATATATAATGATTGGACAAAAGTATAATATCGACACCTAACCTATGTAAGACAATACCCAGTATGCACGCAACTGTGGCCTGGCATGGCCAGGTGGTTAGGGCGCTCGAGTCGCAATCTGAGGGTCACGGGTTCGAATCCCCGTCACACCAAACATGCTCGCCCTTTCAGCCGTGGGGGCGTTATAATGTGACGATCAATCCCACTATTCGCTGGAAAAAGAATAGCCCAAAAGTTGGCGGTGGGTGGTGATGACTAGCTGCCTTCCCTCTAGTCTTACACTGCTATATTACGGATGGCTAGAGCAGATAGCCCTCGTGTAGCTTTGCGCGAAATTCAAAACAAACAAACAAATGCACACAACTCTGATCGTATAAACTCCGATCATTTTTTGCTCAGTATATGTGTATGAACGGTAAGTAGATGTAAATAGAATAACAATGTTTTTTTTTTTTTTACTAACAGTGCCGTTCATTCGAATGTTTCTTACACGATACAAAATTCCAATTGTAAGCTGGTGTCTGTTGTATAGCATGGCTGTAAAAGAATATTGCTAAACAATGCACGTAAAATAGTTGCTATAGTTACCATACATTACTTTCCAATTCCATGACGAACAAACCCCAACGTTTTTTTTTTTAAAGTTCATTTCCACTTCGATGACATCCTGTTTGGTGAGTTCACTATTATTTTAGCTTGAACTGTGTCAATGAACAGCATAAAAAGAGGCTTAGTGACAAACTGGATAGCTGTCGAACGTAAATATATATATATACTAGGATATTACAACCTGACATCAAAGAATCTAACCGCTCACGAAATTTCAAGCATAAAATGTTTCACAAAATTAGATTTTTTGCCCGAAATTATCATATTTTTTTCTTACTTCAATAAAAAGTATCATCTTCTTACGTAAACTGATATTTAATGATATGTTTGGGACTTAACGGGTCATGATACAAGAAAAGTTTAAAGTTTTTTAAACATATTTTTTATCTCGTTTGTGTTTTTATTTTGAATATTTTCCATAGGTGTGGAAATACGAAACCTTGATTTGGATATTTTCTACGTTGTGGCATCTTTGTGCTCGAAAAGATTTTCAATTTGCGAAACTATATACATATGCGTCGTTTAATTACTCTGGCCATGTTATTGTTTATGGTTTTCGAGCAGATCTAAAACTAATTTGAATCATCAATTTCGCTTTATCGAAAAATGATGCCCAGTTAATTAGATAAGTATAAACAAGGAAACTTTGCTCTAATGAACATATTTATGACGAAATGAATACTTACACTGCGTAGTAGGCCCCTCAACACGTGAAGTTCGTTACTTTCAGACATATACAGCTGTTCAAACACTCTTGTTCTAGCACATTGTTACGTCAGACGACCATGTTCCTTGATCAACTTTTACTAAAAACAAAAAACGAAATGAACAAAGCTACAGAAACTTTGGTCCCCTGGTGGGACAGCAATAAGTCTGCGAAATTTACAACACTAAAATCACGGGTTCGATTCCCCTCGGTGAACACAGCAGATAGTTCAATGTGGCTTTGCGATGAAAAACACAGAGAGAGAGAGAAACTCTGAAATTTGCTTTATACTTTCAGAGTTTTTGGCAGAATACTCCATTCATACTTACATTTTTTTAACAATTATATATTCATGAGTTGTATTCTTCTTCTTCCATATTCTTAACATTGTCCATTTAGAAAGTTTGTTGTTGTTTTTTAGAGCAAAGCCATATTAGACTATCTACTGTGTCCACGGCGGGGAATCTGACCACGGTTTTGAGCGTTGTAAGTCCGTAAACTTACCGCTGTCCCACCGGGGGACATATTAAGAATAAATTAAATATTTTGCCAATATCCTAACCAACCATCAATAACTTTACATTATTTACATCTTAATAAAAACGAGGAGATCCTCTGTCATCTTGTTTTATCGATTCTGTATTCAGAGATAATAAATTTTACAGTTATCACACGTGTGATACGAAGGGTTAAAAGAAGTAGTATTTAGTGAGTTTAACTACCTTCAGCTTGCTCTTTGTTGTTAACCGCAAAACTACACAATGAACTATCTGTGCTGTGCCTACCGCGAGTACGTAAACATGAATTGTAGTGTTTTAAGTGTTGTCTGGTGTTATCAGAATATAATGGCAAACTCATATGGATTTTTAAAAAAGCTTTATTATACGAACCTTATTTTTCGTGTAAGTATGTGTGTTTTTCTTTGTTTATTTGAACAGAACTATAGTTTTTTATTTACAGTGATGTAACTTAGTTACAACGTATTTACTGCTGGATATTTTCAAGAAAGAGGCTCAAACATGGGTCAGCTTACTTCCAGACATGAATCTTATCTATATAAAATACATAAAGATATTACAACTATTTCATATCTTCTACACTAGTTTACTGTGTTAATTTTATAAGGAAATATAGTGATAATGAATACATCGACATATCTTTTGTGTGTGTAGACCCTTCTATAGCTAGTGTTTCTTTATAGTAATTCGGTAATGCTTAAATTACTTTGAAATAAATCACAGTAATCTAGCTACATATCTCTATTAAACATTGGCGTATCTGACGTTCCTGACTTCTGTTTTAAACTACTCTGACTGATGATACATTGAACTATTGGAAATTTGACAACATTTCCCCCCTTGTTATTATTATTGTTGTTTCCTTTACTGTAGCAAGTGAACTCGATAACTTTATGTGTTCATCTGCCCATGTCATCGTGAATTATTCTGGCATATTCTCAATCAAAGGTTACGCTGTTTTAAACCAGATATTTATGGTTGTAAACTATGCTGTCTGTCGTCGATGTTACAAGACGATACTGAAGGTGCGAGAAACTATTCACTGGTATAAATAAGATTTTGTATCCTCAAGTCCATGTAAAATATCAATTGTAATCGCAGTGAGCTACATTCGTTAATTAGAATAACAAAACAGTATAATGAAAAGCAAGAATGTAAGGTAAAGTTTTTATTGGATAATATGATCGTAATTAAAACTTCTATATCTTTCTGCCCAAACGTTATATTTTCTCTACGTTCTTATAAGGCTGAGGCTTACCAGCGTGTTATGGTTTTGTTTTATAAGGTATACATGTTGAGCCTTAACAAATCTACTATTTGTAAAACAAAAGTTGTTCATAGTAAACTGAAAACTTTGCCTAAATGCCAATGAAATAGCAAACGCTGATATTTTGGTCAATTTGAGAAGATGTGTTTATGTGTGGATAGAATATAACAACCCCTCGCTTCACCAGGTTATGTGACAAGTATCTCAGAAATGTTGAAGTTTTGATTATACTCTGCTCTGTTGTGTATGTGTGTGAAAAGCTTTGATACTGTACGTTCCTAAATACTGTGTTATGATAAGGTACTGTACGTTCCTAAATACTGCGTTAAAATAAGTATGTAAGTACTTTTCTAAATACTGTACTAAGGTTAGTATACATGTGTGTGGTTTCTAAGTGCTATGTTAAGATAAATGAATAAATGTATCAGTGTATATATATTTAAATGTTTAAATGTTGTGTTAAAACATCAGTGTATATGTGTAAGTGTATAATTTGTGTTGAGGTATAGTGTGCACGTGTAAGTGCTTAAGTATTGTGTTCAGGTAGAAGTGTATATGTGTAAGTGTTTAAATTTGTGTTGAGGTATAAGTATACATGTGTAGTGTTTGAATATTGTGTTCAGGTAAAAGTGTATATGTGCAAGTGTTTAAATTTGTGTTGAGGTCTAAGAATATATTCTAGTGTTTAAATTTAAACACTTACACATATACACTTCTACCTGAACACAATACTTAAGCACTTACACATGCACACTATACCTCAACACAATTTTAAACACTTACACATATACACTTCTACCTGAACACAATATTTAAACACTACACATGTATACTTATACCTCAACACAAATTTAAACACTTACACATATACACTTCTACCTGAACACAATATACTGCGTTAAGATATAAGTATATATGTGTTAGTGTTTAAATACTGCGTTAAGGCATCATTGAATATGTGTAAGTGTTTATATACTGTATTAAGGAAGCGTATACCTATATATTTCAGAATATATACTAAATATACTAAAAAATACATTAGATAAGACTGAAAACTCTCGCGGCTTAAAAAATTATGCTATAGCTATAGTGTTTTGTACCATTACTTTTTTCGTAATTAGCTGAAAAATTGTTTGTTAAAATAACTAAAAAAGAAAAATACGTTAAATTTATGAAAAGTAAAGAAAAAATTATGATTAATAAAATGTTGGGCATTTTGTAAAAATTACATTCAACATAACTGACCATCCTACTCATTTGATGAGATCCATACATTTCCCGATACATTGTGTTATTAAGATACCCTTTATTTTTAAGTCATTATTAGCCAAGACGTTCCTAAGATAGCTTTGTACAACAATTTAGAAAATATTTTACAAAGTTGTTAAGTTGCATTTTAGTATTGACTTGGGCAAGAACATTAGAAATATTTCAACAGGTTTTGTGAAACCAGGCTTAGATCATGAAGTGTTGTAGTACAGTGTACAGGTGTGTGCATATAGGCCTCTATGATACATCTAAATAGTTTTGTTGGCATGTTTTGTAGGCCTTGATCATGAAGTGTTGTAGTACAGTGTACAGGTGTGTGTGCATATAGGCCTCTATAATACATCTAAATAGTTTTGTAGGCATATCTTGTAGCCCTAGATCATGAAGTGTTGTAGTACAGTGTACAGGTGTGTGTGCATATAGGCCTCTATAATACATCTAAATAGTTTTGTTGGCATGTTTTGTAGACCTAGATCATGAAGTGTTGTAGTACAGTGTACAGGTGTGTATGTGTGCATATAGGCCTCTATAATACATCTAAATAATTTTGTTGGCATGTTTTGTAGGCCTAGATCATGAAGTGTTGTAGTACAGTGTACAGGTGTGTGTGCATATAGGCTTCTATAATACATCTAAATAGTTTTGTTGGCATGTTTTGTAGTACATTATACATATGTGTAGGTTTCCAATACATCTAAATAGTTTTGTTAACGTGTTTTAGTACATTGTACATATGTGTAGTTTTCCAATACATCTAAATAGCTTTATTAGCAGGTTTTCCAATACATCTAAATACTAATTGTTTTTACTTAACTGTTCGTTTATGTTAGTTTTGTGAGTAGTTGTGTTTTAATGTATTTTTACTCAAGTGTTCTATACAGTAAATATGTAAAAAGTTTATAAACACTAGATGTAATACCGTATTGACCGTTATAAAGACCGTACTGAAACATTCGTACTTACGGCATCGTTGCTAGTGGATGTATGTTTAAACAGTTAGTGTTAACTAATAACACTTACAAGTATATTCGTCACGGTTGTGATATATGTTTAAACAGTTAGTGTTAACTAATAACACTTACAAGTATGTTCGTCATGGTTGTGATGTATGTTTAAACAGTTAGTGTTAATTAATAACACTTACAAGTATATTCGTCATGGTTGTGATGTATGTTTAAACAGTTAGTGTTAACTAATAACACTTACAAGTATATTCGTCATGGTTGTGGGTTTAGAATGCTTGTTATCATCGTTACAATACAAAATGTGTTTCATAAAATTATACTCATTGCTACGGTAAATGTTCAAAATGTGTTTGTGTGTATATACTTATGTATACCCATACACACAATACTCATTTCTACTGTAAACGTTCAAAATGTGTTTGTGTGTATATACTTATGTATGCCCATACACACACAATACTCATTTCTACTGTAAACGTTCAAAATGTGTTTGTGTGTATATACTTATGTATGTCCATACACACAGTACTCATTTCTACTGTAAACGTTCAAAATATGTTTGTGTGTATATATACTTATGTATGCCCATACACACACACACAATACTCATTTCTACTGTAAACGTTCAAAATATGTTTGTGTGTATATACTTATGTATGCCCATACACACAATACTCATTTCTACTGTAAACGTTCAAAATATGTTTGTGTGTATATACTTATGTATGCCCATACACACAATACTCATTTCTACTGTAAACGTTCAAAATATGTTTGTGTGTATATACTTATGTATGCCCATACACACAATACTCATTTCTACGGTAAATGTTCAAAATATGTTTGTGTGTATATACTTATGTATGCCCATACACACAATAATCATTTCTACTGTAAACGTTCAAAATGTGTTTGTGTGTATATACTTATGTATGCCCATACACACACAATACTCATTTCTACTGTAAACGTTCAAAATGTGTTTGTGTATATATACTTATGTATGCCCATACACACAATACTCATTTCTACTGTAGACGTTCAAAATATGTTTGTGTGTGTTTATACTTATGTATGCCCA